CCACCCCCACACCCCAAGTGCATGGAATTTGGATAATTTCCAAAGTGGACAATTTATGCGACACACCTTTCCATCCCTTTTACATTAGTCCAGCCTCTTGACCCACAACCCTTGAAACTTGAAAGCAGAGGCATGGGCCTAGATACTAGGGTTTCCCTCCCTCTGACCCAGTTTGGGCCCTTGAAATTGTCGTTGGGTCGCGTGTCACTGTCCACCTTGTCATGGGCAGTGCGTTGGCACCCTGCGTAGTGTCTACGTCTGATTTGGGGGAAGGCCCAGCGTGAGTGCAACTCTCTGGAGTGGAGTAATTAGTTGTCATTCTACCCTTTTCAGTCCCCCCTTTCATTAGATTTATATATGAATATGTTGTTGGCTTGCTGTTTGCTTTTGCTTTCTAGTGATCTTGCTCGCCTAGCTACTAATTTAGGGCTTGTTTGAGAGGGCCGAAGCTTTGATTGAACTATTTTTACTTAGCTATCAAGGTTTTAAACTTTAAAGTATCGATGCATATCCTAGCGTATGATTCTATATATTGATTTTAGCAAGAATTTCATGATTTTGTTTATTGAGAATATCTATACTTAAAACCTTGTGACCCATTTTGGAGAAATTATTCATTGAGCTTTCTAGAATTTTCACCAAACATTGATTATAGGCTGTTCTTCGGGTGGAAGTGGAACCCATCTTGCAAAGTGAAAAACTGCCACTTAGAAGCCTTCCCAAACGGACACTTATTTAATTTTAATTTATTTCTTTAATAATCCTTACTATTATTAGGGGGAGTAATAAGTGGGGGAGATGAAGACCCACATGAAATTGATGTGTGATTCCATGCCCAAGGGACCAAACAAAGAAGTTGTGTTAGTTTATTCACACTTCTTTTCTTTATCTTCCATCAAAAGAGGGAGACATGGGGTTTGTTGGTTTCCTTTCTTTAACTTTAATGTCTTCTTTACATGATTTGAGCAAAGGCATTAAATATGGGAAGGTGGGCAGGCTCTCCAATGTGCATTGCACCACCCAACAAACCAATACACTCCACGAGAATAGCATTTCCCATATCATATTATTTATTCTAGTTTCTACTTACCCTCCTCTCTTTATCTCTTTCTCTCTTTTGCTAATATCAACTGATACCCTTTTGAAGTTTTTTTCCTCTTTTTATGAAAAAAAAAAAAGAAAAATGATTTTCGCATCGGTTCGATGTAGATCTCACCCCCACCCCCACCGCCACATGAATTCGCCGAATGATGGACGTCCAAGTGGCACCCCACTTATCCAATTCCACGCGGCGGCGATTGAATTATTTGATTTAATACAATTCCTTTGAGCTTAATTATCAGACATAGATGATGAATTGAACAGTGAATTGTCATTCCTCCTTCACAATGAGGGAATGGATCATCATTGAAATAATGTGATAATGACGCCAAGTTTGTAATTAATTAAGCCTAAGGTCAAGCATATTATTCTCACATAACAACAAGGAAGGGACTGCTTTCTTAGTCTTATAGGCCCTAATTTGAGTTTAATAGATACTCTTAATCAGATACCTTTAACCTTGTCAAACAATTACAAGATTCATTTCGACTAAAAATAAATAAATAAATAAATATCAATTGCCATTGGTTCGAAAAAGAAATGTCAATTATTGATGGTAAGATTGCAATTCATCGAATTGATCCAATCAGGTTAATTTTAAAACTTAAGGAATCTTATAAACAATGTTTGAAGAGTCAGACCGGATCAGACGATCGAACACGCTATATATATATATATATATATATATATATATATATATATTTTTTCTTTTTAAAAAACATGATTCACAAGAACAAACTGTATCATGAAGATTAAAAATCTTACCAACATTGATTATAAGCATAAATCAAATGGCGCATTGGGCAACTATAAATCCACCACGTGTAACTTCGATGGCGCAAATAGACAAAAATTATGATCTATAATAGTAAAGATAAAAAAGAGATCAACCTAAGCCCAACTGAAAAAGAAGAAAAGGAAAGGTGAAAAGGAGAAAGGGGATCATTTCTTTTTTGAAGCAAGACTACTAATAAGTTTTTGTTCACTTGCTTTTGCTAAGATTCCTAGGCAAAAATAACTTTATTCCTCTTTCCTAATTCTTTAAGCAACTGTACTTATCTCCAAACAAACCCTCTCTCTCTCTCTCTCTCTCTGGCTGAGGCTCAGAGGCTCAGCCAGAGAAAGAGAGAGAGAGAATAGAAACCAGTCAATTTAAAAAGTAGTCCCATAACAATAACAATAATAAATTATTTGAAAAACCTTGTCTGCTGTCCCAGTGTTTCCACCTTTATTAATTTTAATTCGTTAATAGTGACTGAGAAAGAAACCAGAATCCGATTCACACGCTTTAAGTCCATGCCTGGTCAGAGTGGGACAAAGGGCCTCGATTCAATGGGCCCCCATTTGACAGTCCAATCTCCATCATTTATGTTGCTCTCTCAACTCAACCAAGATATAACATTTTCATTAAATAACGTGTTCTATTTGCTCACTCCACGCCGCTTGCCTCTCTTATAATATTATATTAACCTAAACGCCAAAGAGGCAAAGACCGACGAGGCTGGACCTGGACCTGAGGACCTGAGCCTAGCCCACGTCGACTTCCACACTCATCGCGTGACCTTCACGTGAGGAGGTACCGATGGAGTGAATCCGGGCCGTTCGTGTGTGCGACCGTACGTTTGGTTTCCGACGTGATTTGATCGGACGGGTGACACGACTTTGATCGGTACAAAATTAGAGGCGTTAGTGGCGGTGGGGGCCGCGGACATCGCTTCGCTGCTGTGCTTTTTGATGTGAATCGCTGCGAGTCGGATGCAAAGTACGGAGACCCACCCAAATTGGATAGTGTTCCATTTTCTTTAACAAGTTTTGGTCGCTGGGGCCCACCTGTGAAAAGTGACGTGACGTGGAACAAGAAATAGTTGTTGAAAGCGCGAGATTACACGTGTCAAGACCTTGGCTCTGATCCCGCGTACGGATATGGATGGGAAGGACGCACGCGGAGCCCCACTGGGGCTTTCATTTCTGTTCACGTGGAGGTTGGAGGTTTGTCTTCATTTATAAATAGCGAGAGGAGAGAGAGAGAGAGAGAGAGAGGAGAGTGAAGGGTTTTAATAGACATTAGACAAGATCAGAGTCACCGCCAAATATGGATAGAGAAAAGAGAGGGAGAGGGAGAGAGAGAGAGAGAGAGAGAGAGAGAGAGAGAGACCTTGGCCGTTTCCCTACCGGATCTGTCGGCACTCATCTTTTCAAAGTTTGAGGTAGCTCTGCCAAATTTAGCAGAAGTTTCTCTCTCCGGTGTCTTTCTCTCTCTAGAACTATTATTTTGATTTAATGAGTAAAAATAAAATAAATAGAGTAATTTCTGGCGGTTCTGGTCACGTCGTCCAGCGTGACAGGTGTGACAGAGCACTAACGTACGCCCACCGCTACCAAATCGCTAATCAAAAGCCCAGAGGTAAAGCCCACGCCACTCAGACCCGCAACCCAACCCACCACCACCACCACAGACACAGAGAGACAGAGAGGAAGGGGAGTCCAACTCCATCCACCTCGAACCACGACGAAGACCGACGACCTTCCGGATTGGTTTCTAAAATACGCGTAATGCGCAAAATATACGGTACGAGATAGAAGTGGAAACAAGGAGACAGTGGACTTTTTCGTACTTGTGGTTGGTTTTGTTTTGTTGTGTGGTCTCTCTCTCTCTACAGTCTACACTTTCTTTTGTTCTTTTCCTGGTTTTGGCGGGACTCGAGCCAGTACCGATTCTCGTGTCTGGTCTACGCCGTGCATTGCGCGTACACTCATGGTAGGTCCCACCCCTGAAATATCCTCCTAACAACGATATTTTCGTGACTCCGACGTGTCAGATGATCCTTTCCACTTGGCACTGGGTCCCACCTCCCATCTCCATCCCCTCCCTTTTTTACCATTCACCCCCAACATCCTCGCCTTTATTTACGAATACACCCCTGGATTACTCACTCATCTACGACTCGTATCATACAAGCCTCGTTTGCTAAGATGCGCCTCCGCCAAACTAATCCATCTCATAAAAACATTAAAGAAAAGGAAAAATATAAAATATAAATAATAATAAGTTAATAACCCATGAGTAAGTTGCTAAAAATGGATACAAAATGGGTTTTTTTTCGATTGATTTTTTTATATTTATATTTTTTCTTTTTTTGGGTGATTTTCATGAGGACATGTTAACATGGACACTGGCGTTCTTGTTGGATTTACATATGGGGCAGGTGTGAAGGGTGGACCCACATATCGTGCAGAGACAGAGATGCCTGCACGGGAGCAGCAACACGCTCGACTCTTCCTTTCCACAGTTCCTACACCACCTGTTACTGCTGAAACTGCTTCGGCTGCTGTTGCCGTTGTTGTTGCTGCTGCTGCCGCCGTTCACCAAGATTCTCTCTCCTCCTCCGGACTCTGCTACCGTGCGCCTCCTCCCTTCGTCCTCCGCTCCATAATCGCTGCTCCCGCAGCAGGATTGGGCGTCGTCGGCTAGTGCGTCGTCTTCACGTGCGCCGCGGTGGCGTTCTTCGTTAACCTGTGCTAGGACCTGCTCGAGGTTGCTTCGCAGAGCGTTTGCAGTGGCCTCGTTGGATTGTGCCAAGTCCCGCCATATCTGGTTCTCCAAACACAGAGACTTCACTCGCTCTTCGAGGACCCAATTCAATTTCCCGATTTTCTCAATCTCTTCTTCTTTCGCTCTCAATCTCTTCATGATCCCTTCCTCGACTGCTGCTACCAGCCGTCTCGAATGCCGCTTTCGTCGCTCTGCCAGCTCTAATCTCACCTTCTCTGTCTGTAAATCCACGCAATTAGGATACCCATTTAGTAAAACTTCGCTAGAAACAGAACGAAGAAGCAGCAGAAACAATTAACTATATATCTATCAAGAAAGGGTTGAGTAATTACATGTTGATCGATTAATCGATCGATTTCCAATTGCTGCTGTTGGATCTGCAGCGAAATGTCTTCGCCAAGAAAAGACAAAGGACTGGTGCGGGAATCTTTCTGAGACTCGGGCATGGCAATGAACGAGTTGGTGGTGGAATCCCTCGAACGCTTTCTTGAGACGGGGAGGTTGTAGGTGAGACCGCTGTCGGCCTTCATGGTCGTCGTCGCTGGAACCGAATCGGAGATGACAGAATTGTAGAAGGGGAGGAGCGTGTCAGCGGTGGTTCCTGATAATGGGACGCCATAGCCCATGCCCATCTGGGTACTGTAGATATTCCCGTTGTTCCCAATGGCGTTCATGATTTCTCTGAAAATTCAATTCCGAATCAGAAGAAACGTACACAAAGGCGGAGAGCCCAGCAAGACCCAGATTGCGGAAAACACGGTAAGCCGAAAGCCGAGAGAGATTCACGATTCGAATCAATACCTATTTTCAATCAGTTGAGAGGGAAAGAGGTTCAGATGCCGAGCTTCAACAGCCATGAAACTGGGCTTTTCCTTGTTTCTCTATCTCTGTTCGCAAGCTTCGCTTCCTTGGTTCTTGTCTGGTTCAGAGAGAAGATATAGAGAGGGAGGGAGAAGAAGAGAACAAGAAGGGAAACGGAACATGCAATAGAGGTGGCGAGACTTAATGGGGGGGTTTATTTAGGGTTTGGTGTGGAGAGAGAAAGTGAAGGAAATTATTTTATTAGTTAAAAGGAAAAGGAGAGAAGATTTTGGTGTTTGGCTGGGTTTTGTCTATTCTGAGACTTTATTACTAAAATTGTCCTTTGCGTCCTGCCTCTATTTCGCAACTAAATAGAAGAACTGATGACTGGTCTTTCCGAGATTTCAGCGAATCTCCAGGGGCTATTCCGGAAACATTGGGTAAACCTTTTTTTTTTTTATTGTCTCTTTTACTTTTGGATTAAAAATGGAGGACTTGGCTTTGTGTGCGGGGAGTGGGGGATTTGGTTTAATAATAACGGACAATCCACTGTCATCTGCCACGTCTCAACTGCCGCCTGGCACCGTCTAACGACGACACGTGGCCATTACAACAGTTCTGTGGACGTGCGTTGTCATGGGCCCACTGTCGCACGTGTGATGGACGATTGAGGATTGAGAGATCAGACAGTCCAACCTGTTGTCCTGGCTTGGGCCGGCCCCACAGGTAAAGCTGTATGGCCTTTCTGTTCCTAGGCAATTCCCCTGGCTCTGGGCCCCTGCCCTTCATGGGGCCCAGAGCTTAGGGACCGTTTGATTACGGCTGAACTGAACGATTTATTGCTTTTGTCTTTTAATGTGTTACTAAAATAATTAGATAAATGAATATTCAAAGATGTAATAACCAACTGGCTTCAGTTTCAGCATCAGCCATTAAGAAGTTTACAACCTCCTTAATAACTTCTTCTCATTCAGTTCAGTTACTTCCTCCATTCAGTTCATCCCTAAATCTTCTTCATTTATTTTATTTTTTCTACTTTTTATCCAAAATATAGTTATTTGGGGCCTTTCTTCATGAGCTAGCTAACCCATTTAATCTAGGGAGCAAAAACAAGAACTCAATATTGAAATAAATTATTTATTTTTTTATTCTAACTTTTATGATAAAATAAAGATCTCAAGTTGATCAGTTGATCACACTTATCAACTGCTGTTTTCTTGGCAATTTTGTGATTAACTATATTAAAATAATATATATATATATATATATATATATATATATATTAATTATTCAAGAATAAAAAATGAATTAATCTTGTCACCATCCCCCAAACACACATTTGGGTTGGAGCCTTATGTGAAGCACAATGTGGCAGGAACTCCTAATTAAAAATCCAAGGTTGTAAGTTCTATTGGTTATATATTTGTTATTAATGCATTATTAGACAAGTGAGCTACACTTAAGGAGACCAGACCCTAGACAATGTTGTTTATTCCACTAGACTAGGCTGGCAAATGGGTTTTCTTTCTCTTTCTCTCAAGTCTTAACTTGATCCCCTCTCTAAATTTTCCTTAATGACTAGTGACTCGATTGACACGACAAAAAAAAAAAATATTTATTTTATATGAATAAATTAATCAGATAATAATTTTAAGTTAATGATAAACTTTTATGACCACATGGGAAAGGTTTTTTATTATCTGATGTAATATAAAAATTATATATTTATGATACTGAACATGATGCGTCAAGACCGTACAGGCACGCAATCACGGGGCACTAAGCAATAGTAAACCCCACTTCATCCCAGATACGCCTGGCAATCCCTTTTTAAGCCATACTAATGAATATATATATATATATATATATATATATATATATATATATATCTTTCAATTGCTTTGGCATTAGACAAGATTGCAGAGAAAGAAGGAAAAAAATAAAGCAAGGAGAGAAAGAAAAGAAGAAAGGAAAATGCCATGAAAGAGAGCATATCTGAGTAGATGGATGGATTCTCCCTTTCACCACTCTCACTCTCTCTCTCTCTATTATTGCTCCCATCAACCCAACCGCATCACCCAACACTATTGTTTAACCACCCAAATAAAAAAGAGAATAAAAGCAAAAGAAAAGAGAGAAATGTGGGTCACAATCCAACATCACCAATTAGGTTATAACAATCTAGAGAATTCTTTCTTTCTTTTTGTATAGAAAAATGAAAAAAAGGAGGACTAACTTGGAGGGTTAAGATCATTAGATGTTTGTTTTCGTACTCAATCAAGAGTGGCCAATGACCTAAAAAGAAAAGAGAGAGAAAAAAGAGAGAGAAAGGAAGAGAGGGATCATGTTCATATGTGTTTGTGCTTCCCCCTTTTTAGGGCAATTGAAGCACCTTGACTTGTGGGGCTTCTTTATCTTTTCTCCCATCTCCAACTTAAAAAGTTGTATATATATAATATGTATTGTATTCCACATGTGCCCTGCACCCTTTTTCACTCCCATTTGGGGGAGAATCTCAATAACCACTCACCCCATTTCTTTATTTTATCTTTTTCTTTCTTGGCAAGAGCTAGAGCTATATATATTCATGGTGATATGTTAAAAGCTTGGTTTTATATGTTTATTGACCATTTCATGGAGTGTTGAAATAAAAGAGATGGTGATGCTTGTGATGAATAAGGTTCCCCACAACCAACAGGAATGACAGCAATGGAGGAAAGAGAAAGAGATCTAGAGAGAGAAAGAGAGAGGAGAGTCCCTTGAAAGTAGTAGTTGTGACACCATACTGCCACAGTCCTTGGTCTCCTAAGCTATCATTATTTCGTGTATTGGAAACATACCTCACTTGCCCTTGAGACACTTAAAAAAAAGGCTTAACTTTGAATCTGTAAACCAAATTTGACCGTTGGGTGTCCAAGAGACAATAAAGTCCTTAAAAGAGAACACTCATGGGGGGCCCGCCCATCAACTGAGAAGATTTATGTTACTACTCACATGGTTCTCTTGTGTGTGCATCGACTTTGATCAGAATCAAGGGATATTGAGATCCTCTGATCCATATGACTTAATGGGGCCCATCACATTGCCAAAGCTATTGACTTTATATAGATAGATGCTTAGATGGACCATTTAGAGCTTCTCTCATTGTACCATATTTTGTTTGACAAAATTAAAGTTAAGGGTGTCCAAAGAATCCCACAAGCTGCCATTTGGGACCCACTTTTTTATTTTTATTTTATTTTTTTTTATTTTTTGTGATGAGGACCACAAATTTACTGAATCACAAGTATACAGGATCACAGGCATATAGTATAGAAAAGTTGTTGTTGGTGAGAATCTTATCAACCGTACGATCATAACAAAGCCCATATTTCACTGCCCCACCAGCAATAAATCTGAAAATTCATTGATTTTTAGTGAGGAGGGAACCGAATTGTTGGCTTGTTGCTGGTCCAGATCAGATGAAGATAAACTCTGCCCACCCAAAATGTTGAAAAAGGAATCTGGCCTGCTTTATTCTAGTTTGGGTATCATGCATCATTTGTTTCATTCCACAATTCCAATACAAATGCAATTGCACAGAAAACAATTCCTTTTTTTTTTTCTGTTTGGGTAATGGGTGATTATAAAGGAAAGTAATTTTTTTATTTCTTTTTATTACATGGTTTAGGGTGCTATTATCATAAAAGCACCTTTTAGAGCTGTAAATTTTGCACATTCAATCTTTAAATCTTGCATCATGAGACCAAAAGGAAGCATAAATTTTGCACATGCAACCTGTACATCTTGTATAATGAGATTAAAGAGGTGAAAGTTTTGCACATTCAAACTGCAAATCTTGCCTAACGTAGTCAAAGAAAGACAAATATCACATATTCAAGTTGTAAAATTTGTATATTGAGACCAAAGAAGTGTAAATTTTGCACATCCAAACCCGAAATTTTGCATTCTGAAAATCTTGCAAACAACATTTACAGCCCACAGTGCTTTCGCAATATCATAGGAAAATATTTATATAGTGTAGAATTTGCAGAAAGAAGTCAAGAATGAAATTATTTACATGTTAGTTATATATGGTAAGGAACAGGTAACGGATTTGTATTATTGATTGAGCTTTCTTAAATGATATAGGAATCTTTCACATGACAACTTAATATTGGGCTAAAAGAAGTTTCCTCCTCTCCTAACCCTTTACTTATACAAAAAAACTCTGTCCATTTATGGAAAAATTTTGGGAAAATTTCTGATCAGTATCTCTATTTTCGCTCAACTAACAATTTAATTCCCAAATTTCAAAATACGATAATCTAGTATCTGAACTTTTGAAACGTGACAATTTAGTACCTAATATTAATGGACAGTTATGTATATCACATGACCTCATGTGCGATTTAATACTTTTTAAATATCAAAATTACCTTGAAAATAAAACACACTGTTCATCATCTTCTTCCTCAAGAAAATGAAACAGAGCCCAAGCTCTTTAAGCTCTTTGTCACAAACACCACAAACATTTGCTATCATCCTGCATAAAAGGCCAAAGATTCTCAAAAAGCTTGACGACTACGAATCATTTTCAAAGAGAAAATCTACCCAGACATACCACATTGGAGCTACGGTTGCCATCGTCCTGCATAAAAGGCCAAAGATTCTCAAAAACTTGAGAACCGTTTGTGGTGTTTGTGACAAAGAGTTGAAGAGTTTGGGTTCTGTTTCATCTTCTTGAGGAAGAAGACGATGAACAGTGTGCTTTATTAATAAGGATAATTTTGATATTTTCAAAAGTATTAAATCACACATAAGGTCACGTAATATACATAACTGACTGTCCTTAACAGTAGGTACTAGATTGTCATGTCTCGAAAGTTCGGGCACTGAATTATCACATTTTAAAGTTTGGGGACCAAATTATCACTTGAATCAAAGTACAAAGTACTGATCAAAAATTTTTCCAAAAATTTATGTTAAAATTTTAAAATTTTGAATGATCATACTCAATTGACATACAAGGTTGAATATAGGGCTGATATAGATAGTGGGGATTGGCCACATGATTCCTCGGTGTGGTAGAAATAGGTGGGTTCATATAATTTAACCCGATATATAGTCGAATCGAATCTCAATGCATCGTTTGGACCGATTTTGATGTTTCTATCTTTCTTTTTCTTTTCTTTCCTTTCCTTTCGTTTTGATAAAAATTGAGATTCGTATCCAGTTTAATGAAAAACCTTTGCCCATCATTGTTAAACGAATGAAGAGCTTTT